CCCCTAAACTGAAGAATGGATAGAGAAAATGTGGTACATTTACACAATGTAGAACTAATCGGTGGAAAAAAACACAATGAAATATTGAAATTTGCAAGTGAATGGATGGAATTAGAAGAAACTATCAGGAGGAGGAGGAGAAGAAGAAGAAGAAGAAGAAGAAGAAGAAGAAGAAGAAGAAGAAGAAGAAGAAATAGTAGTAGTAAACTACATCCTTTAAACATATGTGCTATGGTGTATTTATTTACTACCCTGGGTTTCATATTTCTTACAAATTCAGCTACGAAGTAAGGCAGTAACAACAAATGATGAGAATCATTCTCTAAGAACCACTGATGTTATAGACAGAAAGAGAATTGCCCCCATTCCACCTCTCCACTCACTTCTGTTTTTGAGATAAAGAGTCTCACTTTGTAGCTCTGGCTAGCCTGGAACTAGTTAGGAAGACCAGGCTGAGCCTGCCTCTGCCTCTTGAGTGCTGGGATGACAGGTGTGCTACCGTGCCTGACTAATCCTTTGCTTTGTTTTTTTATTTATTTTAAAATTTTTGTTTATTTATATTTTATATGTGAGTGTTCTACTTGTATATCTTCAGGCCAGAAGAAGGCATCAGATCCTATTATAGATGATTCTGAAACATCATGTGGGTGCTGGGAATTGAACTCAGGACCTCTGGAAGAGCAGTCAGTGCCCTTAATCACTGAGCCATTTCTCCAGCCCCCTTTGTTTTTAAAGATATTTTTACCCAGCTTTTGAAAATATTTCATTTTCTTATTGGGCGCGTGTGTGTGCACGCGCGCGGGTGCGCCATGTAGGTGCAGATGCCTACAGAGTCCAGAAGAGGGTGCTAGCTCTCGTGGAGTTGCAGTTACAGGAAGCTATGAGCCATCCCAATCAATGTAGGTTCTGAGGATGGAACTTGGATTCTCTGGAAAATCAGCATATGCTCTTTAAGTGCTGAGCCACCTCTCTAGCCCCTTAGAGGGTGTGTGTTGTGCATGTGTTTACTTCCTGATTGTATTTGTATATGTGTGAACCTGTTGGCCTTCCACCATGTGGGTCAAACTCAGGCTGCTAAGTCATCTCAACAGCCAGACAACTTTATTATGTATGTGGTGTTCCTCCTGCATGATGCCTGCACAGTAGAAGGCAGCATCAGATCTCATTGCAGATGGTTTTGAGCCAACATGTGGTTGGTGGGAATTGAACTCAGGACTCTGGAAGAGCAGTCAGTGCTCTTAACCTCTGAGCCATCTCTCCAGCTCCTGACAGCTCGATTTTAAATTAAGAATCAAGATATCATTTAGACAGCAATAAATGCAAATAGCTTGGTTTTCACCTTTTTTAATTGTTAAGAAAATTTACTTTGTACACTGCCAACAGCTTAAACCTTTACTAAGTACATCTTGCAATGGATTTTATATGAGATTATAATACATATATACATATATTTATATCCTACTATTTTAAAAAGTTCATATATAGTGGAAAATTACCAATACGGAGTCAGGTAGAAATATAAGGGTATTTAATAGGGAAAAGCCTTATTTACAGAGCAACCTAGCAAGCCGGCATGGCAGCAGTCTGTACAGCAAGCTAAAAAGGTGAAACTGAAAGCGAAACCCAGCTAACTGAAACTCTTACTCTATGTCACCCTGACCATGCCCTCGCAGGCGTGGCTACAGGTTCCCCTACATTTATATTCTTAAAAGAAATGGGGGCTGGAGAGATGGCTCAGTGGTTAAGAGCACTGACTGCTCTTCCAGAGGTCCTGAGTTCAATTCCCAGCACCCACATGGTGGCTCGAAATCATTTACAATGAGATCTGTTGCCCTCTTCTAGCCTGCAGTCATACATGCAGGTAGAACACTGCATACATAATAAATAAATAAATCTTAAAAAAAAGAAATGGATTTACTGCTAAGAATTATTCCTCCCAGTTGGGAATGAGCTCAGCTGCTGGAATGCTTTCTTAGAATTCATGGAGCACTTGGTTTTATCCCTGACACCAGATAAAACTGGGCATGGTGGCACATGCCTAGAATCATAAGCTTATGCCTATACATGCCTATAACCATAAGGGAGGTGGAGTCAAGGGATCACAAGTTCAAAGTCACCCTGGGTTATATACATAGTTCAGTTTGAAGTCAGCCTGGAGTCTTTAAAACCATCTCAAAAAAAAAAAAAAAAAAAAAAAAAAAAAAAAGCAAAGCAAAGCATTGCATTCTTCCCACCTACAGGACATCAATCATCAACACCACAGATGCCACAGCAGGAATGTAATGGAAACTCCCTCTGACAGTGTTCTAGAAACAGGATGTTCTTTACATCCAACCTCATACATACATACATACCTGTTACACAATGTTCCTGTATTAGTGTTTTTATATTTTTATATTTTCCTCATTTATAGGCCAATATCCCTCATCTCACTAATTATATGATGGAGGCAAAAATCAGGATTAGAGAAAATATACTAAATCTTTATTAGTGGTAGTCACATGCCTCATAGAACAACAATGGCTTGAGACTCTAAACGCAGGTCACACTGTATAAGGTCAACATTTACTGTGAGGACACCTGGCACAGCACCACCCAAACTCACCTTGCTTTTAATCAAGATGCTCACTTCCCCGGACTCTATAATATAAAAGCTGTCGGCCTTTTCACCCTGAAAAAGAGGAACTTGGGTCAGAGTTACACATAGCATCGAAGACTGTCAGCATTGAACAACCTCAGGTCTCCATCTCCAACTCTATAAGCAGATCAATGGCTAACAAACTCATAACAAACAGATCATTAAGGACATTACCCAACGATAACTGACACATGTCCAGGAATATGGCCAGGTCACCAACTACACAGCATTGCTGTTCTGATTGGTTATGCTGGTGTGCTGAAACACATTCCAGGGACCAGTAAACAAGAATACTGCAAATAGCATCAAGGTAAGTCTTGGAGTGCAAGGCTGTGGTGGTTTGAATGTAACTGGTCCCATAAGCTCATAGAGAGTGGCACTATTGGGAGTTTGGCCTTGTTGAAGGAAGTGTATCACTGTGGAGGCCAGCTTTGAGGACTCTTTTGCTTAAGTGTCACAGACTATTTCCTGTTGCTTGCAAGATGTAGGACTCTCAGCTACTTTGCCAGTACCATGTCTGCCTGTATATCGCCATGCTCCTTGACATGATGTTAAGGGACTGAACCTTTGAACTGTATGTAAGTGAGCCACCCCAATTAAATGTTTTCCTTTGTAAGAGTTGCAGTGGTCATGGTATCTCTTCACAGCAACACAACACATACTAAAACAGAGGTCAAGGAATAATCTTGATCAACAAACACAATCCTTAAGAAGAGACCGTGGAGGAAGCTCAAGCATTGCAAGCCAAACGCAATGACTGGAGTTCAATCCTCAGAACCTGTACCTGAGGTAGGAGGAGCTAGGTGTGGTGGTACACACTTGAAAGCTCTGTGTTGGCAAGGCAGACACAGGCAGATCCCTGAGGCTTGCTAGCCAGCCACCCTAGCCTACTTAGCAAGCTCCAGGCCAGTGAGAGGCCTTGATTTTATTGTTTGCTTATTTTTCTGTTTGTTTTGTTTTTAATTTTTTGAGACAGGTTTCTCTATGTAGCCGTGAATGTCCCGAACTTGCTTTGTAGAGCCCAGGCTTGCCTCGAACTCAGGGATCTGCCTGCCTCTGCCTTCTGAGTGTTGGGATTAAAGGCATGTCTCACCACATCCAGGGAGACTTGGGTGTTTTTTGTTGTTTTTTTTCTTTTATTTTTTTCTTTAAAGAAGACTGTGCATGAGGAATGACACTTGAGATTGTATATACACAAAGAGCCGAAGTTATCCATCTGTCTGCCCAAATACAGAGTCAAGGTTGTCTGTCCATATACACAAAGAAGACAGCATAGATATATCTGGACAGCTCTGCCTTGATGCAGTAGATGCTTTGATGCCATCTTTCTAAGCTTAGGTTTCCCTTTGCTGGCTAAACAAACCATTCAGGTAATTCAACAAATGTTCTCACTGTGTGCAGGCAATGACCCAGGAACATGAGGGATTCTATCAGTGGATAAAACAAACTAACCAAGAAATATGATAATCAGTAAATTATACAGTTTTGTTGGAGGATGGCAAGTACTATAGGAAAAGAACAGAACAGAGACCATGGGCTCTCAAATGCTGATAAGAGGGACTAGCTACTGTGTACCACAGGCCTTAAGTAAATAGTGAAATCTGAAAGGAAGTGAAACTCAGGCAAGCAGAAAGGGGAGAAGAGCTTTGGGCTTATTTCACTTTCTCATCCCTCACAATGAACTTTCAAAACAAACCATGGATAATTGATAGGAACTGTGAGCTATCAGTTGCTTGTTGTTTGGAGACCAGTCTGGCTACATAGGTCTGGCTGGCCTGGAACTCAGTGCATAAGCCAGGTTAGTCTCAAACTCTCATCAACCCTCTGTCCTCTGCCTCCACAGTGCACTGCTACATACTCGGCCTGGTGTGGATTGGACAGACTTCCTAAACACTTCAAACCCCAAACTTGACAACACAGTTGAGGATAACTTGCCTGAGGCAATCTAGTCCCTGGCTGGGCATGATGGCTCAGGCCTATAATCAGCACTCAGATAGCCGAGGCAGAAGAATTGCTGTGAGTTTGAGGCCAGCTTAGATAAAAACCTTGTCAAAAATCTAAAAAAGAGTTTGTATTACAGTTTGGATGTAAATGTCTCCCAAAGGCTCACATGTTTGAACACTTGGTCCCCAACTGATGACACATTCTTGGGAAGTTACTGATCCTTTGGAGTGTGTGGCCTACCTTCGTCACTAGGAGTGGGCCTGTGAGAGCTACAGTCCAGCCTTGCTCTGCCTCTGTTTCTTCATTAGTGTCTTTACTTGAGGGAACAGTTACCACAGACGGACTAGCATCTTCCGCAGTGATGAACTGACAGCCCCTGAAACTGTGAGCCAGAATCAACCTTCTTTCCCTCTCTTCAGGAAGTTGCTTCCATCAGAAATTTCACCACAGAGATGAGCAAGAGAACTGACAAGCCTCTGGCGAGTCTGATCAAAGAGGCACATGATTATAAGGAAGGAAAGAGGACACCCTTCTGCAGACATGCTTCTGGGATTCAGATAATAACGTGAGATGAGAGAGACAAGCTCCTAGGGACGGGCCACCACACCCAGCCTCACTGGCTAGCATTCCCTTGTGTTTATTTTCCTGAGGCAGGGTTTCTCTGTGTAGCCCTGCCTGTCCTGGAACTCACTCTGTAGACCAGACTGACCTCAAGCTCAGACTACACCTGCCTCTGCCTCTGGATTAAAGGCGTGCACCACTGTCTGGCTCTGGTTGGCATTTTTTTTTTTTTTAAGATTTTATTTATTTATTATGCATACAGTCTATACAGTCTTCTGCCTGCATGCCAGCAGAGGGCACCAGATCTCATTCAAGGTGGTTGTGAGCCACCATGTGGTTGCTGGGAATTGAACTCAGGACTTCTGGAAAAATAGTCAGTGCTCTTAGTTGCTGAGCCCTCTCTCCAGCCCCTCTGGCTGGCATTTTTATGCAGACAGCATGCCATGCACGGTGGTGCAGATGTGCAGTAATATGGAGAATGGTTTTGCTATGCTTTAAACAGAGCAAATGTGTTTTTCAATGTATACAACTTCTTGCCTTAATAAGTATATAAATGTAAGCAAACCTTTGCTTTATAAACAACAAAGTAAACATGAACATTTCATGGAGTTTGTATTTTGTATATTCAAAGCAAATATTGAGTTTTAAATAACCCTGTGAAACAGAAGTTGCATTTACTTTTCAGGGCCCAGCTCAACTGATACTTCCTCTATGAAATAGCATGGTTTAATTACTTCCTTTTCTATACTGACTTTTATCATATGCATCATCACATCACAGTGCTCATTACTTCAGTCTTGTTTACCCTAATCTTAAATTACATGAGGGAACCTAGAAAGCACAGCCATTGAGAGACGTACCATGGAACAAACCCCTAAAACTATTTACATGTAACTAAAATACAAACACAGCAGACAGAGAAAATTATTACATAATACTTTTAAAAGACATTTTGGTCAGGGGATGGTAGTGCACACCTTTAATCCAAGCACTCAGGAAGCAGGGATAGGCAGATCTCTGTGAGTTCCAGTTCAGCCTGGTCTACAAAACAAGTTCCAGAATAGACTCCAAAGCTACACAGAGAATCCCTGTCTTGAAAAACCAAGAAATTCAAAACACAAACAAACAAAATAAAACAAAAAAGCAGGGTGGTGGTAGACCAAGTCTTTAATCCCAGCATTTGGGAGGCAGAGGCAGGTGGATCTCAGTAAGTTTGAGGCCAGCCTGGTCTACACATTGAGTTCCTGGACAGCCAGGGCTGCCACATAGAGAAACCCTGTCTCAAACAAACAAAAAAAAAAGAAAGAAAGAAAGAAAGAAAAAAAAAAAAACCAAAAAACAAGAAATTGCTATGTACTGAGAGTGGCCCTGAACTCCTGACCTACCTGCCTCCACTTACTACGTGCTAGGATTCTAGGCATGGATCACTGTCTGCCACTTTGCAGTCTTTCTTCAATTATAAAGGTCCAGTTCACTGTACAGTGATCATACATTATCCAAAAAGACACACACACACACACACACACACACACACACACACACACACACGACATCTCATAGATCTGATTATCATTGAATGCGGAGGATTCTGGTATCACATCATTGAGAGGTTGCTTTTGTGTCAGCAGAGACAACAGAGAGTGTAAGCTCCCAGTGTTCTCTAGTTTCTAATACAGATTAATATGGTCAAAAGAAAATGACATCCAATAGAAGCCCACCCCCAAAATGAATGGAAGTCTGAGCCTGGTGGCACATGTCTTCAGTCACAGTGACTCAGGAGGCTTCCGAGTTTAGGACAGCTTGATAATACTCTGTCTCAGGATAAAAAGGCTGAGGATGCAGTGGCAGAAGACTTGATTAGTGGTGACTACAATTCCTGTTACTTCAAGGGAAAAGGGTAGCAAGATATATCCATGTACTGAGGAGATGGACACCAAGAACTTCAGAGGTTGATGGGGGAAATACTTCTGTATATGTTTATCTTATTGATTGTTAAATAAAATACTGTTTGGCCAATGAAACGGCAAGTTAGGCAGGACTAGGAGTCAAAGAGGATTCTGGGAAATGTAGTAGAGAAGTGCTGATCCAGGCAGGAAGTGACATAGCAAGGAGACTCATATTTAAGTGAAGGAGAAACAGGAAGGGCCCTCTTTTCCCCCTCTTCCTCCAGCCGCAGGATGTGAGCCACTGGCAAGGAGGGATGCCAATAAGGCGTCCGCTAAGGTTAAGTCTTATAAAATATATAGGTGTATGATAATTAAGACTGAGCTAGCAGATGAGAATCCTAGTCATTGGCCAAGCAGCTTTGAACCTAATACAAGGTTCTGTGCATTCATTTGGGCCCTAACTCGGCATAAAGCTCACACGTGGCGGTGGGGCTCAGGCGGCATTTGGCAGAAAGATTTATCGTTAACAAGAGGTCTTTGTAGGAAGGACAACACAGCTTCCAACAATGGAAGACATGGACATTTTGGTTTTTATTTTATTTTTTATTTTATTAGTTCAAATTAGAACAAGCTTGCTTCAGATGACAATCCCTTCTCCTTCTTCCTCCCCTCCCCCCCAACATCCCACCTGCCCCTAGCCATCCCCCCTCCACTCCCCAGGCAGGGTAAGGCCCTCAAAAGGGGCTCCCCAAAGTCTACCACATCATCCTGGGCCAGGCCTAGGCCCTTCCCCATGTGTCCAGGTCAAGAAAGCATCCCTTCACAAGGGATGGGCTCTCAAAATCCCTTATTATTTTTTTAAGACTTTACATATTTAATATAGTGCATTACCCCTGTACAAATGGAAAAAAATTAAGCTCAACATTTCTAGACCAATATGGCTGTTAATTTTTGTACAATGCCAACTCAACACGGTAAACTGGGATACTTTTTTCCAAAGTTGACAGCACAGCTAAAGTTTCCAAAAATTCAAACTATATATGTATATAATTTGCATGTATATATGTATATAAATATTTGTATTTATATAAAAAGACCAATAATGGCAGTATGTTATGCATCAAT